TATCTTGGAATTTCTTGAGTGCCTTTTGTATGTTTTGGTTGACCATGTCTAGTAACATCTCCATGAAATTCTCAGTGATTACTTGCAAGATTTCTTCTTTCAGGTTGTTCTTGTGGGCTTCATTGGGTTCCTTGGTGCAGTTTACCTTTTGTTTTGTTGGAGTCTGGAACTGGGCATCCATATTCTTCATTTCCCTCTGACTCCTGTATTAATTTACTTTTTGGGGGAGAATGGTTTCCATCCCTTTTTTGTCTTCCTATCACTCACTAGGTACAGTGTAACTATGTTTGTGATAGGCTATTGGTGGTTTCAGTTACCTGTTTTCTTTCCCTTGATTTAATTTTGTTTTGTGGGTGTGTTGGGTTTTAGGTTATTGTATGTATGCTGTTTCTGTCCCTGGTCTGTGTGTAATTTAGTATTAGCTAACTCACAAAAGTAAAACTAACAAAACAAAAAAAGAAAACCAAAGAAATCAACAGAGAAAGGTGGACAAACAGGGAACAAAATAAATAAACAAACAAACACATTAAAAATGTCCACATTCAGGAACAATAGAATTTCAGTCTTAGTAGTTCTGGTGTTACTCCTTCAGCATCCAGTCCTGGTGTTCATATTTAAGCAGAAGCTCTGTCTTAGTCTTGTCAGGTGGTTGGGGAGTCTTGCCAGTTTTTTTCCTGTCTTTCATCAGCAGCTGTTTAGTCAGCTCCTCCCTCAGTGAGGTGTGGCTTTTCCTCAGGTTCCAGAGATCAGCTATGTGGCCCACCAGCTGTCCTGCTTTGGAGTTGGGTTTTCACTGTGTTGGTTTATTGGGGGCTTATTTCTTTGCCTTGCCCCCTTTCTCTGGGGCAAGGTCAGAGATCTGTGTGCTGTCTCCCTGCTGCCAGTGTGTTATGCTGGTTTACTAATTGTTTTTCAATTCTCCAGCATTGTTTGACTTTGGATGTTGCTCACTAGCTCAGGAGATGAGCTTTGTGGACCTCTATCTGCCCTATTTCAGGCAACAGCTTATCACCTGCCTGCTGTCGGCCCTTCTGCCTTTCCAGCCTTTGTTTACTGAGAGTTTGCAGGTGGAGATCCGCTCCTTGCCCCTCCCCCTTTCTCCAGTGCGCTTACAACACCCCATTCCCTCTGCTGCATGTTCCTTTTCAGTTCCTTGTTTATTTTTCAGTTTTTTCTTTTTTTGTTTTTTGCAGGGCAGGGGTCAGTCTGTCTAGGGGGCTATGCTGGTTTATCCTAGGGGTAACTGTGGGAATACCACATAATGCTTATTTGCTCATGTGTTGGTCTGCTGGATGCTTCCCAAGTTGGTGGCACAGGAGCCCTCCTGTTCTCTCAGTGTAACTCAGCATGGAGAAGCTTTGTACAGGCTGGGGGATCGGCGTGTCAAAGTTTTGATTCTTCTTGGTGCTTTTTTTCCTGCTAAGTGTGGTTCTAGCATCTCAGCAGATTTTTGATTTACAGACCTCACTCTGTCTGCTTCTGCATTCTAGTCGCTATCTTGGATCCTCCTGAATTAATATGATAGAATAAACATGAGACATGTTGTAGCCTAGTAATAGACAGTGTTGTATAGTGAACGTGGGCTCTGGAATCAATCTTCCCTGATTCAAATTCTGGTCACTGGCTGAATAACCTTTGGCAAGTGATTTAGCTTCTTTGTAACACAACACCCTCATTTGTAAAATGGAGACAACCATAATAGCACTTTATAAAGTGGGAAATTTAGATATGTTAATACATGCAAAGAAGTTAGATCAACCCATAGTAAGTCCTCAATAAATATCAAAATTATGAAAACTGATCTGGTTGTTGTGGTATACTCCTGTAGTCCCAGGACTTTAAAGACAGGAGAATCTTGAGTTGGAGTCCAGCCTGGACTAATGATTTCAAGGTTACTAGAGCTACATAGCAAGTTACTGTTTCAAAAAACTAAAAGCAAGATTAATAAGTAAATAAATTTAAAAGTTTAACATATATATTTTTTCATGTCCTAATTTTTTCCAAATATTTTCAGTTACCTATCATTCAATCATAGACTTGAACAATAATTTATTAAACTTACTTTCATTGGAACAAGTTTATAGATTGCTTCTTCCAATTTTTCACATTATGTATTTTTTCATGGCTCTCTCTCTCTCTCTCTCTCTCTCTCTCTCTCTCTCTCTCTCTCTTTCTCTCTCTTTCTCATTTTTGTAGTGCTTGGGAATTGAACCAGGGCCTTGTGCATGCTATTCAAGTGGTCTATCACTGAGCTAAATCCCCAGTCATATTTGCCTATCTTTTGCAGATTAACCTTAGAATCATCTTGCAAAATTCCAAGAAAAATATGTCTTGTATTTTAAATTGGAATTATATTAAACATACACATGTATCTGGGGGAGATTCTTTATGACATCCAATCTTGTCATGCAGGTATAATGTACAGTCAAATCTCCTTAAAATACATCTCTAATATTTTGTATTTTCATACACTTGTATTTAGTGATACAGATCACTTGTATTTCTTTTTACATTAATTCTTAGGCATTTGACAATTCTGTCATTAGGATTTATCAACTAGAATTTATTCTTCTTCTGGTTATAGAAATGTTTGTTATTTTCTTTACATGTCTTTTTTATATAGACATTATAACTTCCCACAGAAAATATCAAAACTTTTCTGTATATAATTGCTTTATGTAGAGAGAAATTTCAACCTTCATGCTGAATTTGGAGCATTATTTACCTTTAACTTAAAAAAAATGCACTTTCCAAAAGATAAAAAGTGCAAGTCCATAATGTAAGTATATCTTTAAGCAACCAGAGATTTTATAGAGAAATCATTACATATACAGCACTCTTCACCTTCTTATATAAAATATGTCAGTAGAACAATTTCATTCCAAAGAGAAAGACCAAGAACTTAAGAAAATTCTAAGTTTAATTAATAGATCTATTTGTGGGTTATTAAAGTACAGGAATCTAACATTTACTGAAGTCCTGACTTCTTTTTCACATACTCTTGCCTTAGCATTCTTCTCATACTTATATTGTTTATTTATTATCTATTTTCCCCATCCTCAGAGGACTGCAGTTTCAGTTATTTACTGAAGTGATAACAGCTTAAGTTATTCAAGACAAATATCCAATCAGTCTCATTTTTTATAGATTTACTCATCTATTCACTCCACAAATATATTAATCTCCATTTCATTGTTAGCAATTGTTGAATATAGACAAGGTCTTTGGCTTCACAGTTATCTTCTAGAAGAGGAGAAAGCAGGCAAAGAAACAAATAAGGTAAATTGAGGCAATGTAATTTGGTATGATTTTAGATAGTTATCCTAGAGTTTAGGATAGTGCTACAGACTGGCCAAAGCTATACTGTTACAGAAAGAATAACCTGAGAACAGTGCTCTAAGGAAGCAACATGAACACAGATCTAAATATGAAAGATCTGGTGGAAGAATGTTGCAGGTGGGCTGAATAAGTATAAAGATTATAAAAGTATAAGATTTGTGGTTGGAGAAGCAACAATAAAACCAGTGAACCAATGAAGGAAAGAGGTTAGGAAGGCAAAACATAGTTAGATCATGCAGGCAAGGGCTTCTTGGCTAGCACTTTCCAAAATGTGTTGTATATGTAAATCACCAGAGACCTTGTTAAAATGCAGACTCTAATCCAGGATGTTTAGGGCTGGGCCTGGGATTCTAAACTCCTAACAAGCTTCCCTGGAATGTAGATGCTGTTGTTCTGATGATCAGACTTTCAATGGAAAACTTCTAAGCTATAAAAAGGATGTTGAGTATTATTATAAATACAAATGAAAGCCATTAAAGGGTCTTGGTCATGGATGACATAATTAATTTACATTTCCAAAGGACTGCACATGCTGCATTGTATAAGGAAGTCTGTTTGTGAGAATGCATGGATGCAGGAAGCTAGTTAGGAGACTGCTTCAGTTAGCCAACAGATGAGAGTGCCTTGCAGTAATGTTGTCTCTGAACAAGACATGGACGAGATTGAGAAGTATTTTGATGATAGGGTAAAAATACTGGATGAACTAGATGTTGATGTGAAAATAAGCGTAATCAAGATTGACTCTAGCTTATAGATGGAGCAACTGGGTTCTTTGTCATTCTTACCATAATGATGAAGAAATTTTGAAGAAGAATAAGAAGGATAGGGTAGAAATTAAGGGTTTTGTTATGGTAATGACAGTTTTGACCCTATCATATTAAAAACTAAATGGAGCTATTAAGTATAAGTTGGATATATATGTCAAGAGCACAGAAGAGAGTGTTCATTGGAGATGGAAATTTTGGAGTCATTAAATTTTAAAGCCATGTAATTAAATGAACTCAGCTAGCAAATGAATATTGGAGAAGATATGAGGCTGAAAAGAGAAGGAAAGACCAGATGAGAAGAATGAGAGGGAGCTTCTAGTGAGACATGAAAAAGTACAAGAGAGCATGACACTCCATAAGTCAAGTGAAGAAGTAAGTGTTTCCACACAACAGCTGGGAGAATTGGTGAAAGGAACCAAATCAATACCTCTAGAGAGGTCAAAAAAGATAAAACTAAGAATTGGTCATTTGACGTAGCAAGACAGGTTGTCACTGATTTAACAAAGGTGGTCTTAGTGAACAGGGTGATGAATTCCTGACTGACTGCAAGAAAGAGAAAATAAGAGAAGATAAAGTGGAGGAAGGGAAAACAGACAACTCCTTCAAGAATTTTTGCTTTGGAGAATAGCAAAATGGGCCATACCTACAGATTTTTTATTATAATAGGAGATAGGTGAACTAAATCATTTTTATTTGCTGATGTGAATGGTAAGTAAACAAGATATAAATGGTAAGTAAACATATGCATAAAATATGTTTATGCATATGGAAGGGCTGGCTGTGTAGAGAAGAAAATTACAAAAGGAAGACAGAGCATATAATGGGTAAGATACACATAGGTTGGTAAATATAGTGGTGGGAAAATAAAGTACTTTTGTTTAGATGTTTCTATTTTTCAATAAAATAAGAATCAACTAACAGGAAGAGGGACTGGAGATTTGAACAGAAAATAACTACTAAGATTTGGTCATCTCAATATAAAAACAAATTTCATATGAAGATGTAGTAGGATTCAAGGACAGTGCTGGAGAGCCATTTCAGATATGGCAATGTGATGAACAAGAATGAAGTGGAATTTCCTCTAGTAACATTCATTTAAGGAGAAAATAGTAAAGTTACTTAAGATACAAGCAAGGGAGGAGTTATAGTCATGGACCACAGCATGTAAACCAACTAAGAGGGAATTAAGAGCTTTAAAAAATGGTGAGTCGATGCATTATCTAAATGGGATAGATCAAGGAACAGTTGTTAAAATAAGTGGATTAAAGGGGGTTCTTTGAAACTTGGTTAAATAAAACCTTATAGACCCTAACAGTGCTAAACTGTGCAATTTTTAACTACATGCACACAGCTTGCACAAAATTTCTCAAAAGAAGAACTATAGATTCTTATAAACAGCATATGTTTATTGACTTATGATTTCTCAGAAATATATCTATTAAGAAAAGCAGTATCCATCAGTGTAGCAATCACATCCCTTTTTATTTTAAAATATTTTAATGCACTATGGTGAAAAGCAAAACATCATTCAAACCAAACAGACCATTAGAGCACCATCCTTAAGTGCTGTTGTAACTTTCTGCTTATTATTCTCTCAACAGTAATAAAACGAAAATCATATCAACAAATTTCAATGCCAATAAACTTCTAGAATAATGTGAAGAGCAGACAAATAGAATCTTGCAAATCCATCTCAAGCATTCTTTAGAAAACTGTGAGGAGGGCAAAAAGTCCATAAAGTAGGGCGCAAGGGTAGGCAATGAGAAGCTGTTGTCCTTCCATGTCCAAGGCTGAAATGAAGATCTTGGAAGCTGAAAGACTACACCAGCCAATGATGACCAGGGCTGACACAGCTCCAAAGGTGCCCCTGTTGCAAAGACAAAGAAGATGATTGGTTTACTTCAGGCATCAGGAGAACAAGATGACTGATTCAAGCTGGGCACCAGTGGCTCACATCTGTAATCCTAGCTACTTGGGAGGCTGTTATCAGGAGGATCATAGTTCAAGGTCAGCATGAGCAAATAGCTTGGGTCCCAGTCTCCAAAATAACCAGCACAAAATAGACAGAGCAGGCATGGCTCAAAGGGTAGAGTGCCTGTACTGCAAGCATGAAGCCCTGAGTTCAAATCCCAGTCCCACCAAAACAAACAAACAAACAAAAAACAGATGAGTTGAAGTTGCCTCTGAAGTGTTCATGGTACAATATTTTATCCCTATTTTCACCATTTGCAAAATGAGGGTGTTGAACCAAATGAATTGACAAGGCTCACACTATATTTGGAGCCTTCTTTGATTGCTACAGATTTCCTTCCCCTCTTCTTCATAAATTGAGTCATAATAATGATAAGAAAGACACTCTTTCCAAGTTTCTGAGATGGCAAAGGTTAACACAGCTTATGTAGAGAATTCACAGAATAGGATCACACATGTCCACTGGTCTTTCAGTGCATCTCTGGACATCCACTTTGTATATCAGCATGTGGATTTTTTAGAATTTCTTAATTCATCCATTCAAAAAGTCACTGTGGAGGCAATCTGTTTTTTAAGAGTAAATGGTCAAGCCAGGCATTGGTGGCTCATGCCTGTAATCCTAGCTAGTCAGGAGGCAGAGATCAAGAGGAAATAGTTTTTAAGATCCTACCTTGAAAAGCCCAAAAAAATAAGACAATTTGTGAAAGGTTTTTTCGAGAGGGTCTGACGAGCTATTTGCCCAGGCTGGTTTCAAACCAAGATCCAAATCTTAGTTCCTTATCTCTGTCTCCTGAGTAGCTAGGATTACAGGCGTGAGCCACCAGCACCCGGCCTATACTGTTCAGCTTTAAAGCAATGAGGTAACTTGATAAAAATTATGTAGTAAAGTGGGCCGTGAGTAAATCTTCTAACTCCTACCACAATGTTCTTTCTACCATCAAACTATACAGCCTCATCTAATAGTAGTTTGACTCTAAAGTTGAAGATTGTGTTACTGTGACCATGACAGAAATACCTACTTTAAATAATTAAGCCAAAACAAAGCAGGTGAAAATTTGTACAGTGTAGTTTATAATGCCTTAGATTGTTAACAAACCAAAATTATTTTTAAAGCACCTAATAAATACTATATTCATTGGTTTAATTAATGCCTATTAAGAATAATTTCTAACATGGTCTAATGTACATGTTTCCATGAACAAAAATGTAAAATTATATATGGTTAATTTTAAAGATACAGTAATATACCTTATAATTTTAATTTAATGGTATTAGGAGTCAAATGGGTTATTCCAACATAATATATTTTAAAGTAATTCTATATAGTCTGTTATGATTTAGATCTTAAATGTTCTCCAAAGGACTACATACTAAAGACTTGCTAGCCAGCCTGTGGCACATTCCACTGAGAAAGTGGTAAAACCTTTAGGAAGTGGGGCCTGGTTGGAGGAAATCAGGTCACTGGAGGTGTGCCCTTAAAGGGGACATGGGGATCCCTGGCCCTGTCCTCTCTTTCTCTTTTTTTTGGCCACCAAAGGCCCCAAAACAGTAAAACAAAATAAAATTTTCCTTTTCATAGGATGGGTTTCTCAGGTATTTTGTCAGAATGATGGGAAACTAACACATATCATGCTTTATAATTTCAGAGTGACAATCTGAAGTACAAGTTTCTGGTAATTTCCCCAGTCCAAATGTATAGTTTTTATTTTTCCCTTAATATTTCAAAGTCATTTAAAACATCCTAAATCTCAAATTTGGTGGAAATAATGCTTAAAACTTCTAATTTTAAAATGGTGGATCATAATATTTTTTGCAAAAATGTCTAACAAAATAGATGTTGTAGAACCAAACTCTGTATTAAACAACACAGTAAATGGCACAACTTATTAAAGAAAACAATACACAAAATGTAGAATTTTTCAATGGATAAGACTCAATAGCTATAACTCATATTTATGTGCTCCATGTACCCATTTCCTGTCATCTTGTTTTTTAAATGCTGAGTACTCAGTGATTAAGTAAGGGTTTACTCCAAGGAATTCTCAAGGACATTGCTTTAAAAATGAGGTCATATTAAAATAAAAACAGCATGTCTTAATAATGTCATTCTCAATAATGTTATAAACAATTATTTACTATTATAACAACAAATGTATTAAAATCTTTCCTAAGCAACTTATTTTTGTATTAATAAACTCTTTGTATAATATTCTATCCCATGTAGCATTAACAACTTAAGACTGGATCATCCAAGAAGAAATGTAAGCCATGTCTCCTCTGGATGTAGAAGAACAAGCACTGAGGGCAAATGTTTATTTCCAAGTGAGTTTGGAACATAGCAAGTGACAAATAACAATGTAGCCACTTGCTTTGTCCCTCACTAAAGTGGTAGTGATATGCACATGCCCTGGAAAAGTGTCCTGCAGAAAATTATATCACCTGTGTTCTTAGCAACAATTTTGAATCGCAAATACTAACTGCATAAGTGAAGGAAGAAAATTTTTTAAAAAGTAGTATTGACTGAACATATAAGCTATAAAGTTCTCCAGAATTAATATCCTCATCAAGGTTCCTGGGAATTCTACGCTGCGAGAAGCCCAGCTGAGAAGAACAGTTGCTTCCAGCCTAGAAGGCAGAGTGCCTAGAAGCTAAAGCAATTTGTCAGTGTTCAGCAAGCATTTACTCATCCAAAATCAAGTAAGTGAATTTTCTGTAGTTGTTATATTACCCACGACAATAGTTCAGACTGAAGAATGTGACAAGTTAAAAAGTGCCAGTTTTAAACTGGCACATGGTTTAATTTATTTTTTTAACTGTGAAAATAGGAATACACCTGAGCCCAACTGACCTACTTTTCTGAAATTTATGTGTGGTTTTTAATAGACATGGTTTCCCAATTCCATTGACAAAATGATCAAAAGAGCTAAGTATTTGCACTGGTTTGGCCAGCCATAGCAATGACTGTGCATGTGGGGTCAATCACTGCTCACAGACACTTACTGCAATGAAAAGAAGATGGCACAGCTGGAGAGGATGACCATGGGGAGCAGGCAGTAACGAGCACACTCGCCACACAGCCATATGATACCCTTGCAGAGCTCATCAGGTTCAGTAAGGCATGCATCCCAAGGCAGCCAATGGCACTCATGCCATACATGTAACCAAACTGAACTTTTCCTGCCTGAAACAGTGCAGAGAAAACAATTTGAATGCACAAAAAACAGGAGAAGAAATCAGAACAACAACAATGCAGAGAACATTTGATGTTGCTCCATATCTTTGTTAGAACCATCATCAAGGAATTCCGGTGGCTGGGGGAACTGCCTGTAATAGGAATTCCAATCCTGAAAACAAACAACCTGACTACACTTGGGATCAGACAAGCATACTACAGAAAAGATGAAATACTACCAGATTGATATTTTTTTTACCATAGATTATCTATATGAGTACAAATTATAAAGCAGTATGTTTTCTCCCCACATTTGTTGAAAAACAGAATGATTGAATAAAGGAATAAAAACCCAATTTAGTCCTGGAAGTTTATAAGGCAGATTAGTAACACTGCTATTTTAAAATTTTGTTTTAACTTCTAACAAAACTTTATAATTGAAATAGAAAGTAAACATTCTATTTTTTAGACTCAAATTTTCAGAATTCTCCTGGAAAAATTACCTTTATTACCATATCTTGATTCAAAATACTTAGTACTCTTGTAATTTTGCCTTTTGGTTTGTGATGCTAAAGATCAAACCTTAGGCCTCAGCAAACTCATAACTGAGCTACATTCCAGCTCTTAATTTGTTGAGATAAGGTTTTGCTATGTAACTCCAGCTGACCTTGAACTCACAATCCTCCTGCCTCTGTCTCCAGAGTGCTGGGATTACAGATGTGTACCATCATGCCTAGCTACAATTATACTTTTATATTCCTAATGAACACTGCTTTTCCAGGTCACACTCAGAGCCCTGCCTGAAAAGTTAAATGGAGCAATAGCTTTGTACCACTTATTTTCTTGGTGTTAAGGATGAAAATAATTTGGGAGTGTTATAGTTTAGGTAAGTGTCCCCATAGGAATATGTATGTTAAAGGCTTAATCATAAGCCTGTGTTACTGTTGGGAATTGATGGAGTCTTTAAGAGTTGGGGGTCTTTTGGGAAGAAGTCAGGTCACTGGTTGACATGTCCTTAAAAGGATATTGAGACCCTGGCTCCATCCTGCCTCTCTCTTTTTGCTTCCTGACTTCCATAATGTAAGTAAGTAGCCTTCTCTGTCACACACTCCCTCCATGATGTACTGTCTTGCATAGGCCCAAAGGCAATGGGGCCAAGTGACCTGGACCAAAACCCCTGAAACCATGAACAAAATAAACTTTTCTTCTTAACAGGTTGGGAAGAATAAATAAAACTCAATTTATGTTGAGTGACTGAAGCTGTTTTCTTTGGTATGTCTTCTTCAACCTAACTAAAGGAAGCCCACGAAAGAATTGTGTCTTATGCTAACACAAATCATAAAAATGGGAAGTATGTAATTATGAATCTTATACCTTCAGAAATAATAAGCTGATTTGGATATTGATTCTGGCTTTAGTTTTGCTTTCATTACTACAATGACCCTGTCATTATAGATACCTACAACACAGTTAACCTAGCATCAAATGCATTCAGAGTTAAATTGTTCTTCAATTAACATACAGTTGGAATTTTTAGAGGGCTGTTATTGATCTAATTTATCATAATCAGTTCTGAAGTTAGCATATTGAATGATAAAATCCAAGTGATACTATTATGTAAAAAGATTCAGAAAAAATATTTTCACATATTCCCATAACTTCAGAACTAAAAGGATTCCAATTAACTCAAATAAATCCCCTTGTCTTGAAGTAAATGGAAAGGAAGGCATAGAAATGTTAAGGCAAAAGTTCAAGATCCGAGTTAGTGGCAGTTAAGGATAGATCCAATTTTTCTCACTTCCACTTCAGATTTTTTTTTTTGCCTAAGTTGCTTTGTATTTAAAAACATACGGGAGGGTATATCCAGCTAATAATATACACCCAAGAAAGACCTTAATTAGAGTGAGGCTATCCTTTAAAGTATGGTAACAGTAATATTTTCTACAGAAACACAAACAGCTGTTATATTACAAATGAAAAAGAAAGTTAACATATAAATTGTTTCTGACTTTTTGATTAATTGCCATTGTCTTGCTTAGTGGCCTAATCTAAGATTATCAAATCATTGTGACAAAGAGAGATGAGGAGTTAAAGAGTAAATGAAAACTCTAGTTGATAATGTTTGATTTACAGGGTATTTGAATTTTCTGTAGTAGAAAGAAGATACCACCTTCGTACTATTGTATTGTTATCACTGTGCTATTGTGCTGGATAAATATGATGGATTATTGACACAGTTCCATACAGAAACTAGATTACTATCAGTATTTTGACTGGTATTATAAAATTAATAAATGGGATGTGCAAGTTTACTTAGTTGCAAACACACTTTAAACCACCTTTGATCATCACAGCTACATTGGGGGAAAATTTTTTATGGAAAGTAGATACAAGTATTATGGGAAAGAAGAAAATGACTATTGTAAGAATTTTTCTCAAAATCTTTGATTTTCCCTGCCAAGTTTATCTCCTGTACCCTAAGGAAACTATACTTTTTTTATCTTCTGTTTTCAATCTAGTGTTATTTCCTTCTTGGTATAAAATCATATCCCTTTTCTCATTGTTACTTTCTTCTTCCTTTTTTAATTGAACATTTTTCTGAACTATGAACTAAAATATCTTCTAAGCTTAAGTAGAAATATGTTTTTTCTTTACTTTTTTGATGACTCTTAATATCATTAATTCTAACTATAAAGAATAAAAGGACTCACACAAAAGTTATATGCTGAAGTCAGGGAGAAAATGCCATCATGAAAAGCAGAAAACGAAAATTATAGGAAAAGCATATAAATTGATTAAACAGATCATAGATTATCATTTATTCATAGTAGCCTAATCAGAAACAGGAAGACCTACCTTAGATATAACAAGATGTTAGAAATACTCTAGAGATATATTATAGCAAAGAAAATAATGACCAAAGAGAAATGATTTATCCAGTGTCACAACAGAAATCTCATAGGAAAAAACAAGAATAAAATTTTAGGTCTTATATTTCCAAATCCATGTTTTCTTAGTAAAAAGAAAGACATATATAATCTCCTGCTTGGGTGAAAATTTGACTTGGTGGTTAGAGTTTTTAAATAAAATTTATATTTTTTATTTTTTTTGTGGTACTTGGGTTTGATCTCAGGGCCTTGAACCTGTTAGGCATGTACTCTACCACTTGCACCATCCCTCAGAACTTAAATTTATATTTCTATTTGTTTTAATGCATGATGGCAAATTCTTTTGGCCAGTATAGCTTCTTAAACAAATATGTATCTCTCACTAAAACAAATGAAGTTGTGAATTAAACAATTTTCACTGTATGAAGCAACATACTTTCTCCACTATTTACAAAGATCTTTGAAAAACTGACACTGGTAAGGACAAGCATTAAAATCGGTGTTTCCTTACTCCCATTAGAATAGCTAAATGGAACACCACCTACAACAAATGTTGGCAAGGATGTGGGAAAAAGGAACCTTCATACTCTGCTTGAGGGAATATAAGCTAGGAAACCACTATGGAAAACAGTATGAAGGCTCCTTAAAAACTAAAAAAAAAATAGATCTGCCATATCGATCAGTAATAAAGAAAATTTAAGTAAATTTGCTGGGTGCCAGTGGCTTACGCCTGTATTCCTAGCTACTCAGGAGGCAGAGATCAGGAGGATCATGGTTCAAAGCCACCCTGGGCAAATAGTTCATGAGACCCTATCTCGAAAATACCTAACACAGAAAGGCTGCTGGAATGACTTGAGGTGTAGGCCTTGAGTTCAAGCCCCAGTACCACAAAAACAAAACAAAACAAAACAAAAAGACCATTTTAAGTAAATTTAAATGTAGTTTGAACATTGAGAGACTTTGAACAAAATAACCTCCTTCCAGATTGAGTCTGCAAAGAGTGGTGATGCTCTCAGCAGTAGGTGGTGAAAGGCAAAGTAGAATTTAGTAGGCAGTCATAAAAACAAAAACTCATCATCATAATCTCAATTATGTAGCTACAGATGACTCCTAATCATGCTTCGCAAAGGAGGACAAATATCCAAGTGCTAGAACTCTGGTGTATACTTGAACTTGAATTGGCCTTCAAAGCAGTTTCATATTCTTTGGCAAAATAAGAGCAACAGAAGCAACAACAGAGATACCTGGTGTTCATGTGTTTGGTTTAACCATTTTGGGAAATAGATACTTGGTGATGAAAAAAATGGCATACATCTTTAAACTTTTTATTAAAAAATTTCATGTAAAAGCAATTACAGGAAACCTTCAACTTTAGAATACAACCTGGAAAATAGAACTGCAGTTGCCTTTTATTAAAACCATATGTATGTTTGTTTGTAAGGGGCTGGTTGTGCAGTTCAGTTAGTTGTGTAAGACTTCATGCCGTCATTTGTCTTTCTGTTGCCTTAACTCATGCTTAAATGAATTTGAATGAAATAGTACCATTGTTGTTCTTGATAACTACTTTTTTTATTTTGTTATAAATTTTCTAATGAAACTTCAAAAAAAAAAAAAAAGAAAGAAAATGTGGCATTTATATACTGTGAAATTTTACTCAGCCACAAAGAAGAATGAAATATTGTCATTCACAGGTAAATGGATGGAACTGGAGAACATCATCTTAAGTGAAGTTAGTCAGGCTCAGAAGGTCAAAAGTCTCATGTTCTTATGGTGTATGATCTTAGGATTATGCACCAAAAACAAATGCGACAATACTATGAGACACACACTAAGGGGAGGTTATGCATGGGAGGGATAGGGCAATAGACAATAGGACAAAGAAAGATAATAAAAATTTGAATGTGGTTGATGTGGTCACAATAAAGGAATGAATACAGAAATTTTAAATAGCAGGGACTACCATGGGAAGTGAACTAGGGAGGAATGAAGAGGAATTGGTGGAAATGAACCACCTGGGGATGTTAATATATATACTCATGGAACAACACAAGGAAATCCCCTTTGCAGCTATCTTTATCTCAAACTAGCAAAATGCCATGTTTCCTTTTTACCTTTTACATTTATTCTTCGTACAAAATCAGAGAACAGGTAAACTCAAGATGGTGGATAGCTGACGGGACCCTGAGACTTGACCTGCATGATTTCGAAAAAACACTCCAGATTTTCATGGCAGCAAAGACTGGGTAATACTGTTTTTTCTGCCAACATATAGGGAGCACATGATAGTCTATTTTCTGTCTGGGAACAGCTGGGAGCAGGGTCTAATAGCCCCCACCAATCTGCTGCT